CTGGATCAGCTCCGTTGTACCCACGTTTTTTAAAACATTTGGGTACGGAGGAAAAGAGAGAGGGTTTTATTTTCTGACGCTGCATGAGTTCCCTGATGCACCGGGGACACATGCCGATGTATACAAGACATCACTCATACCTCATTCACACCAACGGTGTTTCGGGGCCGGTTCGGAGCTGGAGCTTGAAAAGCACCGGGTCTTCCTCTTCACACCGCAGCGGAGCCGCCTCTTAGCTCCGGAATCCGGTTCGTTTCAAGCACCAAAAAATTGTCCGGCCAGAGCAAAAGCACCGCATACGTCACGCTTACGTCGAGGCGGGGGCCGGGGCGGGATCAACTCCTGAACAACAACAACAAGCCCGCGTTTTATCCAGTTTGTACACAACGATGGAGAAACTTAACAAGCAGCAGTGGTCCACTGAAGAGACCAGCTACCTGCTGGGAATCTGGTCTTCAGAAGAGGTGCAGAGGAAGCTGGAGCACAATCGGCCATTGTTGTTGTTGTCGGTGTCAGCTGTGAGGGGTTTCCGCGCGGTTTGGCTTTATGAAGCAGGCACGCAAACAGTTACGTCATGACGCAAACGATGACGCAATGACGCAGCACCAGTCGGACTCTGGGCGGTGTGAAAAGAGCCTCCGCTAAACCGAAGAACTGGTTCTGAACCTGAAAAGCTCTAGCACGGAGCTTGAACTGGAGTTGCGTTGGTGTGAATGAGGTAAAAGTGCATTTTGCATGATAGATAGGTCCCCTTTAAATAAATAAATATGAAAATAAATGAATATATATATATCCCTTATTACCAGGTAAAAGTCTCATTGAGATTAAAATGGGCAGCATGAACAAAGTTACAACAAATGAACACAAAACAATACAGGCAGACGTATACAGCACATTAACCAGCCAACATGCAAAGAAAATAAACTATTATAAAAATGTAAAAAAACTGGTGTTTGAGTGTAAATGTGCGTACCTCTCGGCCAGCCCCCCCCTTGGTGAGCGAGGAGATGATGATGGGGTCGAACGGCTCCTCGGTGCCGGAGATGGTGATTCCCAACGGACCTCCGTACCTCTGCAGCTCCACCGTGTAGATGATGCTGCCGGACACTTCCTGTTCGTCTGAAACAGCAATGACGTTTATTCAACACCAGGTGAAGCTGACGAGATGTAAGGGATGTTATATCGATGCAGCACACAGTTAACACCATGCTAATGATTTAGCTTTAAAGGTCTCCTATCCAGAGGGGGGAAATAGTGGAGTACAAATACTGCGTTACTGTTCTTAAGTACATGTTTCTGGTATCAGTACTTTACTCCAATACTTATTTTTCTGACCACTTTTTACTTTCTACTTCTTACATGTTGAACTCAAATACCTGTACTTTCTACTTCTCACATGTTGAACACAAATACCTGTACTTTCTACTTCTTACATGTTGAACTCAAATACCTGTACTTTCTACTTCTTACATGTTGAACACAAATACCTGTACTTTCTACTTCTTACATGTTGAACTCAAATACCTGTACTTTCTACTTCTCACATATTGAACCCAAATACCTGTACTTTCTACTTCTTACATGTTGAACACAAATACCTGTACTTTCTACTTCTTACATGTTGAACACAATACCTGTACTTTCTACTTCTTACATGTTGAACTCAAATACCTGTACTTTCTACTTCTTACATGTTGAACTCAAATACCTGTACTTTCTACTTCTTACATGTTGAACCCAAATACCTGTACTTTCTACTTCTTACATGTTGAAACCCAAATACCTGTACTTTCTACTTCTCACATGTTGAACCCAAATACCTGTACTTTCTACTTCTTACATGTTGAACTCAAATACCTGTACTTTCTACTTCTTACATGTTGAACACGAATACCTGTACTTTCTACTTCTCACATGTTGAACCCAAATACCTGTACTTTCTACTTCTTACATGTTGAACACAAATACCTGTACTTTCTACTTCTTACATGTTGAACTCAAATACCTGTACTTTCTACTTCTTACATGTTGAACTCAAATACCTGTACTTTCTACTTCTTACATGTTGAACTCAAATACCTGTACTTTCTACTTCTTATATGTTGAACTCAAATACCTGTACTTTCTACTTCTTACATGTTGAACTCAAATACCTGTACTTTCTACTTCTTACATGTTGAACACAAATACCTGTACTTTCTACTTCTCACATGTTGAACACAAATACCTGTACTTTCTACTTCTTACATGTTGAACTCAAATACCTGTACTTTCTACTTCTCACATGTTGAACACAAATACCTGTACTTTCTACTTCTTACATGTTGAACTCAAATACCTGTACTTTCTACTTCTTACATGTTGAACACAAATACCTGTACTTTCTACTTCTTACATGTTGAACTCAAATACCTGTACTTTCTACTTCTTACATGTTGAACTCAAATACCTGTACTTTCTACTTCTTACATGTTGAACACAAATACCTGTACTTTCTACTTCTTACATGTTGAACTCAAATACCTGTACTTTCTACTTCTTACATGTTGAACACAAATACCTGTACTTTCTACTTCTTACATGTTGAACTCAAATACCTGTACTTTCTACTTCTTACATGTTGAACTCAAATACCTGTACTTTCTACTTCTTACATGTTGAACTCAAATACCTGTACTTTCTACTTCTTACATGTTGAACTCAAATACCTGTACTTTCTACTTCTTACATGTTGAACTCAAATACCTGTACTTTCTACTTCTCACATGTTGAACTCAAATACCTGTACTTTCTACTTCTTACATGTTGAACTCAAATACCTGTACTTTCTACTTCTCACATGTTGAACACAAATACCTGTACTTTCTACTTCTTACATGTTGAACTCAAATACCTGTACTTTCTACTTCTCTCATTTCCCAAACAGCTGGTTCCTTTAGTCTGAATGTGTGTTTGGTGCGTGATCATTATTCTTTAGAGTCATTGCGTGCCTATTGATTTGAACACGATCCGTGTATCCATCATTTCCTGGTCTTCTCTAAAGAAGAGGGACCAATGGAAACGTTGTCATGTTGCCGTTGTTCAGCATGGAAACATTCATTAGCTAACAATGACATTATTGTTCTATTAATATAAAGGGAGGTCAGGTACTCTTTAAAACAGCTGTCTGTTGCCATCAGGGCGAAGATATGCTCTACCTGCTCAAAGGACTAATCGCTTTTCTAAATCATTCATCCCTTCTGCACTGAAACTTTTAAATTCTTGAAAAGGCTTTTAACTTGATTATTTATTTATTATTGTGATGCTTTGAACTATTTATAGTGTAAATTAGAATTATTCACATCTGTGCTCCCGGGTGTATCTGTGTGTGTTTTTTTCTTCTTCTTGTATGTTCCTGCCTGTGTACATGACATAAGCTGCTGCTCATAACCAATTGCCCCTTGCGGGATTAATAAAGTTGTTGATTGATTGCTAGTTATGGGTACTTTTTACTGAAGTACATTTCAAAGCCTCTTTACTTTGACTTGAGTAAAGAAGTTTAGTCAGTACTTCTACTTTCACCAGAGTACTTTTGAACACGAGTAGAGTATGTGTAAAAAATCAGGATAAATTATATATATTTCTTAAAGCTACTGACCCAGAATCATCTCTGTAGTAACAGCTGGAATAGAGGGGGATGAGGCTAGAATGATCTGTTTGGTATTCTGAGCAAAACACTAGTTCATAGACATGTTTTGTATATATTTCTATTAGTGCTGTCAAAATTCTCGCGTTAACGGCGGTAATTAATTTTTTGAATTAATTGCGTTAAAAATATTTAACGCATTTAACGCATGTGCAGAATGGCCCGCCCCATACGTGCCACCAGTGGCAGCGCCAGGGTATGGCTGGGGTAGGCTACACCCATACCAAGAAATGGCTCAGCCCCACCATGAAAAATGATGTTAAAGAAAGCAAAATAAAGTCTGCCAACTCGCGGAGTAAGTTGAACAGACAGCAGTTAGTCAGATTGATTTCAGTAGCCACGGTTTTGAAAGCTTTTGTCACGTAGTGATCGTCTTCTCAATAGAACATCTTTGATAACGGCGTGGTGTTGTTGCAGGAAGTCCCGACGGAGAATACTTTTGCTGTAGTACAGGTAACACATAACTGGTACGCAGGTTATGTGCGTAATCTGAAATGCGTACCGTCACTTGTGTCACAAAGCGCATTTGCGTACCGACGTACTTGTGAAGCTTTTCCAGAAGGCGGTTAGATCACCGGACGACAGAGTCGGTCTCCGTGTGCACAGACAGGGCTGCTGTTAACGTCGGTCTGGACAACGGAATTGTGCCAAAACTACGCCAACCGGCTGCGGAGGGAGACTCCCCTCCTTCACTGGAGAACTGCGCTAAAACAGCTGATCACAACGTTCACACTCTGTGGTCACGAAGTACTCCACTAGCCCCCCCCCCCGTCGACTTTCCTGAAGTACTCCCCCGTTGATAGAAATCAACACGTAATGAATTAAGACCCCACGGTTTGATGATTGATAGGTCTGTGGGTTGTCTTTCATTTTGACACGCAGAACAATGTTATAATAAACATAGATACTGTGTTAAATGGATATATCCGCCTTCTTTCATTTATCTTTCCATTCCCAACAATATACATAAATAAATAGCATATTTTGGACATAGTTCGAATGGTGATTAATCTGATTAATTAATTTTTAAGCTGTGATTAATCTGATTAAAATTTGTAATCGTTTGACAGCCCTAATTTGTATATATCTGAGACCTATAATATATATGCTTTCAAAAGAGTATAATAGGAGACCTTGTTAATTTAAAGTAAATGAAAAGCTTCTTACCGGAGTTGTCCTCGTCTTTCCGGATCTTCAGCTTGACGAGCTCCTCGCACTGCGTCAGGATCTGAACCGCCTCCTCCATGGAGCAACTCTCCACCCGGATGTTATCGATGGCCAGCAGCTTGTCCCCGAGCTCCAGGGTCCCCGTCCTGGAGAGGGTAAACAACAACAACAACAACATGAAACATAAACGATCATTTATATACTTTAATGTTCCCTATACTGCAGGAAACAGATGCTACCTGCTGACTGAAGCTGTTCAACACTCTCTGCTTCACACTGCATACCATATGACCTATAAAACACACACACACACACACACACACACACACACACACACACACACACACACACCCTGACCTGTTTAATTATCCAGCACACTACAGCTGACCGAGTTTCATCACAGCTGACACTCTCCTGCTTTAAGGTAACTAAGTATATTCACGTACAATGTGTTGGAGTGATAGCCAATAGGAGTGTGATACCTCAAATAGGGCACCTTCGAGTGTTCCTGAATGTGTGTGTGTGTGTGTG